GAGGAGATATTCCATGGATGGTGGAGGAGATATTCCATGGATGGTGGAGGAGATATTCCATGGATGGTGGAAGAGACACTCCATGGATGGTGGATAAGACATCTTATATATATATAAGTGGGACTAGAACTCACTGGCTCCTGGTGATTGGCCCAAGATCACTCAGTTGGCTTTCATGCCTAAGGTGGGACTAGAACTCACCATCTCCTGTTGATTGGCCCAAAGTCACCCAGTTGGCTTCCATGGCTAAGGTGGAACTAGAACTCACTGGCTCCTGGTGATTGGCCCTAAGTCACCCAGTTGGATACAATAGGACTAGAACTCACCGTCTCCGTGGTTTCTACTCTAGTCTAATCCAGTATCTTAACCAATAAACCAAACTGCCTCAAAATGTGGAGACTGCCTCCTCCCCAAATCCTGAATGTTTTCTCAACTTCGCAGCTGAGATGCAGCAATGGATTCGGAACACAGGACCTTAATTTAAACATCATCATCATTATTATTATTATTTCTATTAAGATAGGAATAATTTAGTTGATTAAATTAAGAATGCCAGCAGACTCCTCCTATTTTTGGCTACCATAGACTAACGAGATTCTCCATCTCCTGAAGGGTCCACAAAAATTTAACATAAATCAAACCAGAAAGAAGAGAAAGAAAATTTCCGATATTTTACCTGTCCCCGTCCCGGTTGGGTCTCCACCTTGAATCTAGACATTCAAAAGATAAAGACAATGTTAAGGTGGGATGGGAGAAAAGCTGAACAGCCGTGGATTAATTGTTGAGATCATTCAAGGTGTTACTTTTTATCAGCTGGTAAGGGAACTCTGGCGCTCCAGGAAATGTTTCTCTTCATGTAAAGTGTTAAGTTTTACATTCCCTGCAGTTGTTGATCCAGAAGGGATGGTGACAACTGCACCAGGAAAGCCGTTAATCAAGACCTACAACTCTCTCTCTCCATCCTCTCTTCTCTCTCTCTCTCTCTCCTCTTCTCTCTTTTCTCCTCTCTCCTCTCCTCTCCTCTCCTCTCTCTTCTCTCTCTCATATGCCTCTCTCCTCTATTTTCTATCTCTCCTCATCCTCATCTCTCTTCTCTTCTTTCATCTTCTCTCTCATCCTCTCACCTCTCCTCTCTTCTTCTTTCATCTCTCTCTCTCCTCATCCTCTCTTCCCTCTCTATCCCCCCCCCCCCCGCCACACCATTTCTCTAGTTTGCAGACCTAAGATTGCAGAGCAACCAAGATGATCAAACGTCTGGAGGCTGAAACATATGATGAACGGTTGCAAGAACTGGGCATGGCTAGTCTGGGGAAGAGAAGGACCAGGGGAGACATGACAGCGGTCTTCCAATATTTGAGGGGCTGCCCCAGAGAGGAGGAAGGGGCCAAGCTATTTTCCAAAGCACCTTAAGGCCAGGCAAGGAATAATGGATGGAAACTGAACAAGGAGAGATTCAACCTGGAAATAAGGAGGAATTTTCTGACAGTGAGAACAATCAACCAATGGAACAGAAATTGTGGGAACTTCATCACTAGAGGCTTTCAAGAAGAGACTGGACTGCCGTCTGTCAGAAATGGTGTAGGGTTTCCTGCTTGGGCAGGGGGTTGGACTAGACGACCTACAAGGTCTCTTCCAACTCTGTTAATTTGAATCTACCTTTGGCCTCCTGGTTCGATACTCACCACGAAATTGCGAATTGATCGGTGAAATATGGTCCCGTCGTAGTATTTCTTCTTGCAGAGTTTAATGAAGTTTTCACAGGTTTTAGGGGTCTGGGAAAGACAGAAAAACAAACAAACCACTGCTTAGAATGGAATTGAGTCTGTTTTTACCCAGGAAAGCCGTTCAGGGTATGAACAAAACACTTGTTCTCTGTCTGTCTTTTGTTATCATATCAGATAGGTTCTTGTCATTTTCTTTTCCATTGCTTATTTTATTGCTTGGTACTTCCATACATTAAAATGAAATTTTGTGACGTACAGATCTCCCCTCCCAAAAAAAGCTACATAAACATGACAAGATAAATAATTACTAAATTAGGCATATACCCACATATGTTTATATGATACAGAGAAACAATGCGGTCTAGTTTGGTTCATTTCCTCATTTTTATTGTCTTAAGCCTCCTAGCGAAGTCCCAGGGCCAGATACAGGCAGTCTCCAACGTAAGTTCATTTAGTGACCAAAGTTACAACGGCGCTTTAAAAAAATGGGACTTAGCACCGTTTTTCACATTTACGACCGTTGAAGCCACGCTCACATGATCAAAAATTCACATCTTTGACAATTGGTTCATATGTCAGCGCTCCCGAAAACCTCCACTCCAACCAATAACTCCGAGACAGACATCTTCTCCATGGTTCCTTTTATTAAGAGTAGTAAACTGGCACATCCGGGAAATCCCGAATCTGAAATTTCTGAGTTTCCTTGCAATAAGTAAAAAAATTACAAATCCACCCCCTGCACCCATCATGGCATTACATGCCCCAATCACCTTCCATCCCAACTTGAGATGTCCTCTCACCCAGGTGCAGAGATAACATGACCTTGACTTAGAAAAAGAATGCTATTAAGTCTAACCACATACACTCCAAGAAATTCCCCCCTCCCATTTTGCCAGGCTCAAGAATGTGGAAGCGTCTGGTGCTAATATGGCCTCCAAAGCTGACATCACACTTATGATGGTTGCAGCATCCTGGGCTCCGATTTTACGACCTTCTGACAAGTGACGTCCATGGGGAAATCTGGGTTCCTTTAACAAGCGCGTTACCTAACTTAACAAATACAACGATTCACTTAGCAATGGTGGGAAGGCCGTAAAACGGGTCAAAACTCATTTAACAAACGTTTCACTTGGCAACATAAATTTTGGGCTCAACGGCATTCGTAACTTGAGGATTACTGTAATAAAATTTAACCAATAAATCATAAATAAATCATAGCTATGGCTGAGATTATAGGTAAAACTATTGACATACAATAGTTTTAGTGCTTGTTCAAAGGTGCGATGTACCGAAAAAAAGTGACTTATGACCAGTTTTCACAACTGTTGCCTCATTTCCAACCAAATGTTGGATACTTGGCACCTGACTCATTATTTATGACGGTGTAGGTGTTGTTCTAACTTTCAACAGTCTCTAAATGGATGTTCGTAAGTGGAGAACTATCTGCAAAAAGGAATTTTCCTTGAAGGAAATTTTAAGCCCTGTTTGCGCGCTCAGCAAAGCAATAATGAATTTAAGCAACAGGGGAAAAAGAGATAAGAGGCGTCCTTCACAAACACTCTGTGGGCTGCAAATTATTTTCCACTGATTTTATTTATATTTATACACACGCGGTCTTTCTCTCTCTTTCCACACGCATGGAGAGAGAGAACTGGTTCCCATGGCCACTGCGTGTGCATCATACGAGGCGCATAACATTCTGGCAAGCAAGCCAGGGTTGCCTTAGCAACATTCCTGAAAGGAAGGATAAGGGGTTGGAAAAAAACAAACAGCTGAAAACTCCCTTGGAAAGAGAAGAAGCCCGTTCCTTTCTTCTATTTTTCCTGCCATTTCGCCAGATTCCAGATTTTGGAATTTTTGGCTTTGAGCTCCCGGGAGGGGGAAAAAAACAAAACCCCACAACCACCAAAATCTGATTTGGCTCACGGCTTCGACCCGTTTTGCTATTGGTCAAAATCAAAAGGACGTTGGGTAGGGAGACAAAAGACGTTCGGAAAGAACAAAGCATCAACTTCACCAAGGGAGGTTGTGGTTTTCCAAGATTAGATGACCGGGGAAAGACAGGAGAAATGAAAGAAAGAGGATATTCTGATTAAAAGAAGAAGAAAAAAAGAATAGGGAACATGGCAAAGAGGAATTAAAACCAGTTTTAGCTCTGAGATCCAGAAGCTCTTTTGGCCAAATCTACAAGTAACCGAGAAGTCTTTGAAGATCAAATAACAGATTAGCGGAGTTGGAAGGGACCTTGGAGGTCTTCCAAACCAACCCCCAGCTCAAGCAGGAGACCCTATACCCATGATAGCGAACCTATGGCACACAGAGCCATTTGTGCTGACACATGAGCCGCAGGCAAACTTACCTCACTGCACATGCGTGCGCCTCACAGCTGATTTTTCTGCTGGTTTCAGGCCCTTTTCGGCCTCCCAGAGGCTTGGAAAAAGCCTCCGCAAGGCTTTTCAGGACGAATAGGCCCGTTTCGTCACTTCCTGTAATACCGGAAGGGACGAAACAGGCATATTATTCACCCTGAAAAGCCTTGCAGAGGCTTTTTCCAAGCCTGAGATGCCGAAAAAGGCCTCAAACCAGCCAATCAGCTGTGAGGCGCAGTGCAGATAAGGGGGTGACGTTCATGCGCAGGGGGCGCATTGCATTCTGGGTGCCAACAGCCCCAAAAGGTTAGCCACCACTGCCCTATACCGTTTCAGACAAATTTCAGAGTAGTAAAGTTCTTTGCAGGTAGACTAACACCACCGCAGGACACGATCTGGGTTAGAACCCCGGTATATTCTTCTCTTTTTGCCATCAAGAAATGCAATGGCTCTACCTAACTGCCCAACTTGTATTATCCTTTTTTTTTTTTTAAACTTGTCTTCTGATAGATCCAAAATGCTTGTTTCCTGTTCTAGGGAAGAAGGCTCTTGGAAAAATGGGAGATTCTCAGGTCACGGTTGTCCCAAAGGTGTTTTTTCAGGAGGTAACTGGACTTTGTTTTTCCTCGCTCCTCATCCAAGAAGCTTCTTCCGTTCTGACTGAAGAATCCTGAATTCCCCACCGTTCAGTTAGAACAGAAGAAGCTTCTTGGATGAGGAGTGAAACCTCTTCGAGAAAAAAAAAACATCCACAAGGAAAAGAAACGAAGAAAGTTCCAGTTGCACCTTTGGGACCTTTGGAAAAACCAGCTCCATACGTAGCAAGGAAGACACCAGTGAGCTGGACAAAATCCTCAATGCGCATGGATCCCCACTAGAGATTTACACCCCTTAGCAGCGCTAGTCCTTTCCAGCCCAAATGTCTTAACACGCATCACCGGGTGACGTTGTCTTCTTCCTTCTACCCATGAGTCATAGCTCTTCCCAGCTACCTTCTGTTGTCCAAAATGGTCTCCTTCCGTGATTCCTAACCTACTGGCTCCTGAAATCTTCACAAGTACATTCAACCAGGGTTTTCGACGGAGGCCACAAAAACATGACACGGCTTCAACGCCTCCAATCGAAGAGATGCACATGGCACTGGGCCACTGGAGGAGTGTGTGATTCCAGCAATGTAAGGCTCTCCACGGCCATCTGTCAGGGATGCTTTAATTAGGATTGATGTGCAAAGGAGGGATCTGGGACCCATGGCCTCCACAAGATGGATGGAAGGAAGGAAGGAACAGAAAGAAAGGAAGGAGATAGAGAAGAAAGGGAGGGATAAAGGACAAAGGGAAAGAAGTAAACAGAGAAGGGAGGACAAAAGGAAGGGAGAGAGGGAGAATAAGAAGGAAAGAGATAAATGGAGGAAGGGAGGAGATAAAGAGAGGAGAAGGGATAAGAACAAAGGGAAGGAAGTAAAGAGAGAAGGAAGAACAAAAGGAAAGGAGGGAAGGAGGGAGGATAAGAAGGAAAGAAGGGAAAGAGATAAAGGGAGGGAGGGAGGCAAGGACTGGAAACTAAAGATGTAAGGAGATGGATGGAAGAAAAAGGAAGGAAGGAAGGAGATAAAGATAGAAGAAAGGGAGGGATAAGAACAAAGGGAAGGAAGTAGAGAAGGAAGAACAAAATGAAGGGAGGCAAGGAGGGAGGAAGAACAAAAGAGAAAGAGATAAAGGGAGGAAGGAAGTGAGGAGATAAAGAGAGAGGTAGGACGAAGGGAAAGAATTAAAGAGAGAAGGAAGGACAAAATGAAGGGAGGGAGGAAGAATAAGAAGAGATAAATGGAATAAGAAGAGATAAATAAGAAGAGAGGATAAAGAACAAAGGGAAAGAAGTAAAGAGAAGGAAGAACAAAAGGAAAGAAGGGCGGAGGATGAGAAGGAAAGAAGGGAAAGAGCTAAAGGAAAAGGGGAAGGGAGGAAGAGAGTGGGCAGAACCTAAAGACATAAGGAGATGGATGGAAGAAAAAGGAAGGAAGGGGATAAAAGACAGAAGAAAGGGAGGGATAAGAACAAATGGGAAAGAAGTAAAGAGAAGGAAGGACAGAAGGAAGGGAGGGAGGGAGGCAGGGAGGGAGGCAGGCAGGAAGGAAGGCAGGAAGGCAGGAAGGAAGGAAGGAAGAAGGAAGGAAGGAAGGAAGGAAGGAAGAAAGGAAGGAAGGAAGGAAGGAAGGAAGGAAGGAAGGCAAGAGGGAAGGAAGGAGACACAGAAAAAGAGGGGGGAAGAGGAGAAAGAACGAGACAGGGCTCAGGGCTATTCAACAGGCAGGGAGAAAAATGAAAGGCTCCTGCACAACACCAAGTTGTGGCAAGAAGTCCACCACTTTGCCCACTGGCCACATCTGAAGCCACCCCCACCCACCCACCCCCAGGCTCCCTGCTTCTTACCTCCACATGGAGGATCTAAACATACACCCTGGAGGCAAACCTCTTCCCACCCTCCTTCTTCTCCCCAGGGAGATTCATCCAGGTAATCACAGAGCGTTTGTCTTGGACGCCGATCGCAAGAGGGGTTCGTCAGCCTGTTTTAAACACACCGCTCTGTTTTTACTCCAGGTACTCTTCGCCTTACGAGCCCCCAAACTGAGCCCAAAATGCAAGTCACTAAGCGGGGATGATAAAAACTTCACAGGTGGGAATCCACATTTTATCCACAATCTGGAAAGATTTTACAGATGAGCTGGGCTGGCGCAGTGATTAGAATGCAGTATGGCAGGCTGATGCTGCCGGCTGCCAACAGTTTGATCCTGACTGGCTCCAGGTTGGCTCAGCCTTCCATCCTTGTGAGGTGGGTCAAATGAGGACCCAGATTGTTGGGGGCAAGAGGCTGGCTCTGTAAACCGCTGAGAGAGGGCTGGAAAGCACTGTGAAGCAGTATATAAGTCTAAGGGCTATTGCTATTGCTCTTCCTTTTCTCCCTTTCCTTCCATCCATCCATCGACGGTGCACTGTGTAGAATGCAGTACTGCAAGCTAACTCTGCCCACTGCCAGTTGTTCGATCCTGACTGGCTCAAGGTTGACTCAGCCTTCCATTGTTCCAAGGTGGGTAAAATGAGGACCCAGATTGTTGAAGGCAATATGTTGAGTCTGTAAACCACTTAGAGAGGGCTGTAAAGCACTATAAAGCAGTATATAAGTCTAAGAGCTATTGCTATTGTTCTTCCTTTTCTCCTTTCCTTCCTTCCTTCCTTCCTTCCTTCCTTCCT